AAATTCCTGGATTAGAAGACTCTACTTAACAAAGTATCAATTCTCTTGAAATTTACTTAAAGATTTAACACAAATTCTATTAAAATACGAGAAGGATTCTTGTAAACACAGGCAAGCTGGTTATAAGGATTACTTGAAACAGTGAAGAGCCAGATGAACTGAAGCCATCAGGGAAGAGGAGAATATAGTGTGAAGGTTGGAAATACAAATGAACCCTTCCAAACGTGGCCATGCTCTGTCATGTGAGTGACAGCAATCAAAGGAAAAAGGAAGCTGGGAGCTGCTTACGGAGCTCAGGGTGTCTGCCTCCAAGGCTGGGAACCTGTTTGATCCTCAGAAGGGAATTTCTGTCAAGTTGTAATCTGACCACCTCACATGCACTGAGATGCACACTGCCCATACACACACAACAAACAAGCAAATAAATGCATGAAAAGAAGAAAGGATAGTCTTCCTTTCAACAAATGGAATTGCAACTGGATATCCTTTTATGAACACCTCATCTTGACCTACATTACATCTTAAATAGAAGTTGATTTACATGAACTAGCAGATCTAAATGTAACAAATAAAATAATATGATTATTTTTTGGACAAAAACATATAAAAGAAAATTGTTAGGTTCTAGAACAAGGCAAACAGTTCTTTAGATATAACACTGAAGGCATGATCCTTAACAGAAAAAAAATCAATAAAATGGGTTTCATTAAAATTTAATCTTGCTCTGAAAAACACTGTTAAGAGAATGAAAAGACAGCTGCACTCTGGGAGAAAATATTTGCATATCACATATCTACAGAGGATTTATATCCAGAATACATAATAGCTCTCAAAATATAACTGTAAGAAAACAACCAAAAACCCAATTTTTCTTGGAGGAAAAAAAGGCAAAAGACTTGAGCAGAAAATACACAGCAGAAGATATGCAGATGGTAAATAGGCATACACAAAAAATCATTTCAAAATTTTTAGCTTTTAGAGAAATATAAAACTATACTGAGAAACACATCTCTTGTAAGGACTAAAACTACATTTTAATTGACAATAGCAAATGAAGAAGGAAATGAGAAGCAAGCAGATTTCTCTCTCTGTGGGATGCAAAAGGGAATGGCCACACCAATTAAGAGTTGGGCAGTTTCTGATCAAAACCTACACATACTACACTTATCAATAACTGCAATTTCACTCTTACTCACTCTAAAGAATGAAACCTATACTCACACAGAAACCTCAACACAGAGAGTTACTACACTTGATTTCAGAGCATCAGGAGCTGGGAAGAAGTCACCAGCCCTTCCAAACCCTAATGGCAAACAGTCACCAATACAGGAACACACAAGTTAAAATACATCCAATAATTAAAACTGGTAAAATTTATTTCATATAAATTTCTATTTCAAGGAAGTTGAATAAGAAAGACCTAGTGTACACAGAAAAATGTAATCAAACAACAACAGCAAACCAAGATATCTGACATAAGGAACTGAACCATGGTTAAAGTAGGAACAGCCAGACTTGGACTCTAGCACATCTTCGCATACACATAGTCAACAAGTCTCTTTTTTGGTAATTTTAAAATAATTACGTCTCATACTATTCTGTTTTTAAAGATTTACTTATGTGTGCAGTGTCTGTGCGACTGTATGAACATGTGTATACAAGCACATGGAGACCCGAGGAGGACATCAGATAACCATTTCTACCACTCTCTGCCTATTCCTT